TCTACAAGGTTATTGTTATAAATATTGTTTTTCTTCAAGGTGAACTTAGAGAAAAGAATGATGTGCTCTAACCAGAAGACTTAAAGAAAAATAAAACTTGGTTTGCAGGTTGACCAAATTTTTGTGCAATTTAAATTGGGTGTCCAGGTATTAGTACAAGAGATTTGATTCTTTATTATTAGTCTTGATTACAATAGACTACATTCAGACTATTGTACTTATTACACTAGATTTAATGAGAATGATTTTATCATTTTATCGTTGTATGTGGATGACATGTTGGGAATAGGTTCCAACAAAGTTTAAATCCAGATTTTGAAGGCATAGTTGGTTAGGAAGTCTGATATGAAGAACTAGGGATTAACAAACAAGATTTTAGGGATGCAAATTCATCGGAATATAAAAGATAGGAAGGTTTGACTTTATCAAAAGAATAATTTACTGAAGGTCTTGCAGTGCTTCAACATGCAAGTGTGTAAGCCAGTTTTTACTCCATTTTCTATCAAGTAATCCTCAAGTATGAGCTCTAACAATGAAATAGGGAGGATGAAAATGTCTCAAGTATTATATGCATTGATGGTGAAAAGTCTTATGAATACCATGATCAGTACAAGACCAAACATTGCATAAGCAGTGAGAGTAGTTAGTAGATCAATGACAAATTGTAATGGAGAGCATGAGTATTATTAAGAGAATTCTTATCAAATGAACCTTGGATGTTGTATTATGTTTTAGAGTATCAAAACTAGTTGTCAGATGTTATGTTTTTTCAGGTCTTGTAGGTGATCTTGATAAGAGTTTACCTTTGTTGGAGAGACAATAACTAGTTATACAAGTTATAGAATGTTGTAGTTCTATCTATCACAAAAGTTGAGAACATGGTGGACATGTAAAGAAACTATTTAGATTGAGAAGATAATAAAAGAACTTAGACATAAACAGCAACAAATTGTTGTATATTGTGACAATAAAAGTATCTTACACATTACAAGGTATTATGTCTTATATTTCAGGACAAAGCAAGAAAAACTTAACAGATATTATGATAGTCGGTTAACAGTGACAAGTTTACATAGAGATGACTAAATGTCTATTACAATAATAACATGAAAGACAGTAATAATGTATTGTGAAGATTTGATTAATTTAATCAAAATCTTTAAGTGGGAGATTATATGTTGGTGTTTATTTTTTCTATTATAAAAAGAGCACAATGTTTATCTTGTAAATCATCCCAAATCTCTTTTTTATCCTTAATATTAGTCCAAATCTCTTTTTTCTCCTTTCTATTAGTCAAAATCTCTTTTTTCTCTTTTATATTAATGCATTATATAGTAGTTGAGTTATCTTATTTTTGAGAGAAAATATTATTATTTTTCTCCTTAAATTTAAAAAGGATATTGTAATTTCTTCTAAAAATAAAATTTTATTATTGTCTCTTGTCGATTTTTTTTCTTATCTTTTAAGAAAGAAATGAGAAAAAAAATGAAATTGACAATAAATTTAAATAATTTACAAAATAAAAATTGTGTTCCTTTTATAATATGAAAAACACATTCATGTTAATTTTTTCACATTCTCATACAAAATGCTTATTTTGATAATAAATTTGTATCTTTTTAAAATAATATAATATTTTAATATAAATATATTGAATTAAATTTAACCATATTTATCTAAATATTATTATTTCTTATAAAATTAATAATTTAATTAAAAATAACTATTTAATAAAATAATATATTTAAAAAAATCCTATTTTTCAAAATAAATTAAAAAAAAAAACCAATATCATATTTAAAAACAAATTTCTGTCAAAATATACTTTCAAAACAAATTCATCACCCTGTTACTTTTACCTAACAGATTTAATTTATTTGAACAAATTTTAAACTTTTGACCTCGATAAAATCAAAGTTTTTTTTAACCTGCCCTTTGAAGAACCATGTCCCGCCTTGAAAAAAGACATTTTACTAAACATCTGGTAAACAGATTGATTTGTAGTTGCAGCTTTACTACAAAAGTGTGTTTTGCAGCTTTAATAGAAAAGCATTTATTTATAACTTCTACATTCCAATCCACTGTCAATGTTTTATTATTGATAGAGTTTTCTAGTTTTTTATTCTAAGGTGGGCTATCCAAGGATTGCTTGTCCACTGTTTACTGTTTTGTCTTTTTTACCAGCTTTGACTTTTTCATTTAGGTCACCAGGGTATTTATTTATTTTTCTTATCTATTGTAACAGAGCTTAAAGGCATAACTTTGGAGAAGCTAATCAAATATCATTTACTGTTTCTAAAATTCTATTTAGTTTTAATTAGTTCATACTGAATTTATACCAGTTGTGAGACCTGATACTTCTACTTTTGTTTGTGTGGTTTATCTAATCTCACATATAAAACATAAATAAAAGAAAAGGTGGCCTAAGACATTGGTGTCTCTCATTTGGTACAGTTAACTGGTCCAGTATCTCACTTTTTCATGATCGGACCGAGAAAGTGAAAAAAAAAAAATTGAATTGAAGAAAAAATGGAAAATAAAAAAATATAAATAAAAATATAATAATTGATAAGATTGATAAAAAATAATTAATAAATAATTAAAATGTTTTTATATAATTTTAATAAAAAACTATTAATTAAAATTAAAATATAATTTAATATGAAATTATTATTTAATAAAATAAATATAACTAAATTAAAATTAAAACTAGTTTATATATAAATTGAAAATAAAGTTATAATATTTTACATATATTTATATTTTATAATTTATTTTTATAATAATTTATGAATAATATTAAATTGTAAAAATTAATTAAAAAAAAGGGTTGTGTAATTTTTGTTATATGTTTTTACAGAATGAATTCAAAGTATATGGTTAAATATTAGATATTTTAATGTAAAATAATTAAAAATTAAATTATTTAAATAGATAATATAATTTATATTTTTTAAATAATCAATTTAACTAAAAATAATTTAATATAATACCTTACAATATTATCGTTATTATAATTTTATTTTTATTTTTAAAATCAGATATGCCAATATTTAGTTTAGATTATTGTTATCTTTAATTTAAATTTATTTAATGTAATTTTTAAAAAATATAACTAATATTTTAAAATTTTGTTTAATTCTTTTGTGGATGGTATTAATCAAAGATTTAAGAAACTTTAAAAATTCATGTTTTGGATTTTCAATTGTTTTTACTAATTTGTACAAATTTGTCAATCTTAATAAAATATAATGTTTATGTATGTGTTGTCTAGAATTTGTATATGTAAAAAATATAAATAACTTCCTGATAACAAATATAACTTAATCTTTTTATAAATAATTTTCATATATTATTATATATACTCACTTAATAATTATTAAAATTTACTTTTAAACAAAAATATTTAAACATAAATAATTTATTTTAAAAATAATATTTGTTTAAAATTTTATAAATAAATTATATACTTTCAACAACAATTATGTGACTTGACATATAAAAGTTTCTTGAAAAAATTAAACATAAATCACATGTAAAAATAATATTTTGGACAATTCCCTATCTCAAGTTGGCTTTCTATCCAGGGGGTTTGAAGAGAGATAGAACGGGAGATTCATTCATTATATATATATATATATATATATATATATATATATATATATATATATATATATATATATATATATATATATATATTATTAAAAACAATATGTGATTTTTCTTAAATCACATATCATATTTTTCATTATTGTGTCAATGTTATTATTTCATTGCAATCACACATTCATTATACACTATATTAATTTATTTAAGAAAATATTATATTATATTTAAAAAAAACATTAATTTTTTTTATAAAGTACTAATAAAAATACAAATATTACAACCATATTTTTTATAATTAATTTTTTAAGTATTATTTTTTTCTCTTCACTTTTTTCACTAATTAAATATTATATTTTTTCTTTCATATATTTTATTATTTTAAAAATATATTAATTATTTTCTTTTAAATTATGATACTTTTATCTAAAAGGAGATTAAAAAATTAAGAAAACAATTATAGATTACAACAAACAAAAACATCATAATTTATATTAAGTGAAAAACAAAATCTACATAACAATTTCAATAAAACTAATATATAATTGTTTGAACAAGTTACATGATATATAATTTTATATGTATTCGTCAAGATAAAAATTTTATTGATTTTCCATCGTGGCTTATTTCTATTATTACTTTACACAGTTAAAATCATTCAAAACAAAACAACATAAAATAAATATTTTAAATTTGAGATCAATTTAATATTATTTAATTTTTTTATAGATGTAATCTGTTTATATACGACTCAAACATTTTATTATTATATAAAAATAAAATAAAGTTTAATTTATATATATATATATATATTATTAATAAGATGACAAATAAATTTAATTTAGGTTTTATTTAATTAAAAAATGGGATTCAAGTATAAGATCAACTATAACTGAAATTTATAATTTTTTATTAGAGTTGTTTTCAAAGATAAAAATAATTTACATAAATAATAAAAAATGTGATTAAATTGGAAGCAAGAGCGAAAATTTTATTAAAATTTGAAACAAGTTAATCTTCTTAAGAAAAGTAAAAGTCTATAAGAATGCAAATACAAATGAAGTATCAATGTCTCACCATCCATAACACAACAAGAGGTGTCGATACATGAATTTGAATATAATACTGACTAAATTAAAGTTAGACTTAAATAAAAATTAAAATAAAATCTTATCTACTCTATTAAATTTGGAAAAGGATTGGATTGAAGTGCATTGGGTCTTCCAATTTCATTTGCAGCCCAAATTGTAGTGAAATGACAAAAGAGTCTCTCTCACCTCGCGTGCCAGTAGCCACTGACACTACTGTGTGGGGAAATGCAATTCATCTAATTCAATCTTCCATTCTTTTCGAGTTTTTCCTCTGTGCTGTCTCAACACCTCTTCTCTGTTCTCATGGCTCCGAAACGTCCCACGAAGGTAGTTTCACATTCCCTTTTTCTCACATTCTCCACCACGTGAACTGAACCGGGCCCTGTTTTGTTCTTTTTTTTGTGATTAGCAGAAAGGAGAGAGCCGAATGGATGCAGCCCTCGACGCCATGCATCTCTATGGCTTCCCCAGAAAACTCGTCCGAACAACCGTTCAAAGCCTCCTCAAAGTAACTAAGTCCCTTACCTTCAACCGGAATCATTCATTTCAATTTTATTTAATCGTAACCTCAAAAATTGTTTGTTTTAGGTTTACGGTGGCAACGAAGGTTGGGTCTTCATTGAAGACTCCGGTTACACTCTCCTCATCGATACTCTTCTTGAAAACCAAGTCAATCCTTCGCCTCAGGTAACACTACTTTTCCTGTTCCTTATCCTCCAAGCAACAACTATTTTTCTTATTTGATTTTCACTTGCTGCTTTTGTTGCGCCGTACTGTATTGCTTTAACCGTAATAGGCTATCTTTTATGATTTATCTGGATGTGTTTAATGTTCTGCTTTGGCCTTGTTCAGGGGATCATTCTCACGAATAGCATTTAATCCAGGAAAATTTAACAAGCCCTGCTTTTTTTAAATTAAATCATTGTTTTATTCTCTATAGAATAAATAAATGAGCATATCTAACAGCCAGTTGTGTAATTCACTGTAAAAAAAAAAGTCTAAAAACACCTTGGGGTTTGATATGTGATGTGAATCACATGAGATAATTTAGGATCTTTAAGGTTAGAACCTTGTAGGAAGTTTAGGAATTTAATGATAAGTTGAGTTAAGGTTCCAACATAAAACCAATTGGCAATATGTGGAGTAGCCTAACATGTATTTAAACTATACCAAATGACATGAGGTAGGCGATGTGGGACTTTCAACACACCCCCTCCAACGAAGCCTGTCGGACCAGGCAAAGGGTACTTTTGACCCAACTAAAGGGCAACTTTTGGCCCATGACAATAACCGGAAAGATGTTAAGGCTTCGGCTCTGATACCATGTTAAGGTTCCAACATAAAACCAATTGGCAATATGTGGAGTAGCCTAACATGTATTTAAACTATACCAAATGACATGAGGTAGGCGATGTGGGACTTTCAACAAGTTGAAAGGAAAAAATCACTCTTTTCAAATAAGGCAACTCACAAAGGATGTAAAAGTCCTTTAATATAGCCAAATATTCTTGAATCACTCAAGAACTTAGAAGAATCACTCTCACTAAGATAAAAGAGATAAACTCTAATATTTCTAAACATAAAACTCAACTTGTTATTTCTAATAAAAATGGTTCAACTTATAAAGAAGTTTTGACATCAGAGTTACAAATATTCATTAAAAGAAACTAAATGCTAATAATGATTTTTTAACCTAAGAATTAAAAACTACTTAATGATTGATTGTAACTGAAATTGTGGCATCCAAAAGTCAATCAGCTATACACCCTCTTGGTCTCCCAAAGACTGATAACTAAATTTTCAATTTGGCCCTTATTACTACTTGCAATAAAACCAAACTAAAACCCATTAATTGATTAATCCAAAACACAATTTGTTCAACCAAAAATACTTGTTGAAGAGCTTCTTTTGCTTCCCTTGCTCTAGCCCTTATCATAGGTCATGTTCACATTAATACGAGAGTTACATCTCTTTTCTATTTTTCATTGGCACTAATATATTTCTGTTTATTTTTTATGACAAGCCTTTAATATTTAAGTTGGTTGGTGGAAGGGAGTTTTTGGTTGGTCTCATGGCTGCTCCAGGGACCTTTATCCCACTTATGCCAGCTGAGTTTGCTAATTTTACTTTCCTATGATTTTGCTAAGATTACTTCCCAGTAAGGATACTGAATTTTCTTTCTCGAGATCTATATACCAGCTTCTCATGGTGAAGATAGTGTTCAAAGTGTCTATGATAAAATATCATTCACTGCCCTGCAATGGTAAATTATATTTTGAGTAGTCAGAGCCTTCAAACTTAGGTTTGAGCAGAGACACTCCTCCTAAGATTCCTAATTATAAAGGGACTCCTAACAAACTGGGAAATATGGTGGCCTTGTCTGGCACTTCTCTGTTCAAAGGGACTCTCCAAATGAATACAGTTGGTGATGGCTTGATGGGACAAGATGAATGACAATGTTGTACCATGTACTCGAAACAGCCCCCATAACTCTTATATACAGATCTTAACCCATTCCAAATAATGGAACGGGGAAGGCGTCTGTGCATAATAAATCTCTAAAAAATAAACCTCCTGAGCTCAAAACTGCTAAAGACAATACTGTTTCTGTTCTGGTCGACCCCTAGTGTCATTAATGTGAATAATAGTCATGCTTACAATGAAGTCTCCAAGAAAACTTGTCATTACCCTAATGAATACAACCCTCCCTTGTTTTGTTCTCAATAGGTTCTACTACATCTATAAGTATTGGCCTTGTGCCTCCAATTTCCAAACCATCATACAATTCAAGTATAAATAATGATGTAATGCTCAAAGTTTAACAAGAGCTACAGTTTCACCACCTTGATATTTGTCTGCTAGAATTTTTTTCTAGTTCCTTTCAATGAACCAACGTAAAAGTTGGGAGTTTTAAAAACAAGTTTTCCCAATCTTTATACTCGAGTTTTACTTGCGGGGAAAGATAATAGAAGCATAGCAGATCATGTGTTCCTAATTTTCAATATTTCAGGATGATGTTATGGGCACCAATTGATAAGATTCCAAATAGAATTGATGCAAAAGATTTAGGGTTTGGAATCAATTAAAAATAGAAAATTAGGAATTGAAAATAAAATAGAGAAAGCCTGAATAAAAGAAGGCGCCACAAACAAAGTTTGATAATCGTCACAAGAATTGGTGAATTCTTCAATTCTTGATAAGATCGAAGATACAAGAATCCTAGCAGAGAAATATTCTCATTTTAGCAAAAATTTGTTGTTTTTTTTCTCAATTCAATAATCATAAATACAAAAGTTTAGGGTTCAGGGTTTTATTGGGCTTGACTTTGTTTATAATAAAAAGAAACTCAAAAGAATTAAAACTAATCAAATATTAAACTCATTGTCTTGGGTTCAAATCCCAACTCCACCAAAATAAAAATAAATTAATTTTATTTTAACTCTCTAAATCTATTACACATGTAACCAGTTTAGCCTCCTTGATGACTTGAGTCTTTGAAGGTTGGGTCTCCCAACAAAGAGCTACCTTCTGTTGTAAAGCTTATTGGGCTTAATTCTTCCTCTAGTCATTGATTCAATTAAATCTTAAATTAAATCTTCATTTTTTTTCTCATAACCTTGGACTTTTATGTGCACATCACCAATGACTTATTTTGTACGTGCCCTTTAGTGTTTCACCTTTGATTATGAATCATGTCTTCCCGTATTCAATATTTTCAAGATTATGTCATGGGAAGCAATGAGCTATTTTGTCTCCAAAGCTTATTACTTTCCGGAGTTATTGAAACTTGAGACTCTGTAATTACTTTATGATAGTTCTTTAAATTTTCTAGCTATTATATGTTTGACCTTCCTCCCAAGGGAACAATTTATAATTTCTACACGCACATGAGCCATTGCTTGTAATTTGTTAATGTGTGTACAAGTATTTAAATAATAAGTAACTTTTTTAAAGTTCTGAATGTATTAAATGTTGTATTTTTTGTTAAATACCTTATAATTCTTTATACTCTAGCTAATGACTTTAAGATACTCTTCATTAGGATCATATATTTTAATACCTTTGTGGTTCCTTTTTTATAATTCTAATGTTACTTGTAAATTAAAGTCTTTCATTTTTTTTTTCAAAGTTCAATAGCTCAAATAATGGTGAATCATGGGCTACAATATTGAGAGATTCATATAATAATAGTTTTAAAATGATTGAGATAAGACATGTAATCTTCTCTTGTAATCCAATGAAAACTTTGAGACTTTTGGCATGCATGGCCTGCAGCCCTATGAAAATCTGCTGGGGGATCGTTTGATCTGATGGCCTTTATAATTTTATGAAGTTAGTATTAAGAATGTCTTGTTCTATGTTCTTGTATTGTTTTGCGTGAAGGTTGGTTTGATAGAGGCAAATCCGGGAGATGATCCCAATGAGGTAACACCTGCCGGATGCTCGAACAAAGCCATTCTAGCATGCTGTGAGGCACAAACTTCTGACAACGACGATACACTCTTAACTAATCAGGCCCTGGACACTGTATTGGCATCCAGTGAAACTGGTTCTCAACTTCTCATCAAGGGTGTGGATACAAAACCCACAACAAGAGAACTTGGTAGTCCGCCTCCCTTTAAGTCTGACATTTCTTCAGTAAACAGAGGACCTGCTAATGAACATTTAATCAAGTCTGCAACTAAATCTGCAGAAAAAAAATGCGGTTCTCAACTTCCCATCAAGGATGAGGATACCATATCCACAACAAGGAAAATTGGTACTGCGCTTCCCTTTCAGTCTGTAGACATTTCATCAGTAAATGGAGGACCTGTTAATAAACTTTTAATCAGGGCTGCAAGTGAAACTTTCATCAAGGCTGCTAGTATATCTGCAGAAAGAAAAACTGGTTATCAACTTTCCATTTTGGTTATTCTTTTAAATGGTTTTTAAGCAATATTAAACGTATTTGTTATTAATTTTCTTGTATATTACTGTCTTACAGAGTGTCAGCCACCACGAAGTTTGGCTTTGCGGGAAAATCATGGACCAAAGTCCCCAGAACTTGTGACGAGACTTAATCACAAAAGACGTAAACCTTGCTATGGCTGGATTTCTGATGACGAGGAGGAGGAAGAAAATCTAACAAAGCTTAAACATACACCACCGTTGTGAAAGATTTCACATGTTAGAGAAAATTGTTAACAAGTGTAGACAGGACGGGGTATGAGGGTATTACGTATGAGTAGTAGAAGAGAACCATACCCATCTAATACAGGTCAAGGTCTGGCGTATAGTTCGTATTAGAACAGACCAAAGGGATAAGATGTTTTATTTTTATTTCGTAGAATTGTATTCAAATCTGATTAAAAGCCTGACACATCTCTTCATATTTGAAGAGATTTAACATCTCCAACGTAAGTTGTGAGGGGGCCATTGACGACAATAATCGGTGTTATTCATTTTAGATAATATAAACATTTTTGTTTTAGTGCGATTAAAAATTCTAATAGCATCCTTTTTTTAAATTATAAAAAATATATATAGATTAAAGTTACACTAAATTAAAATGACGTTTTTAATCTCCTTTTAGTTCAAAATTATTTTCTGTTTTACTGCTAGGAAACTTAAAATTGGAAAAGTGCGTTAAGTATTTTTGAGATAAAAGAAAGATAAACAAGGATTATACGAATTATGTGTGCGAATAGATGATTATACATTGGTTGCAGTTTGAATAGCCCGTGTCTAAGGTATTGAAAAGAACTGCACAAACAGTTTGGGAGCATCATACACCGTTAATAGTCAATAGACTCAATACCTGAAGGACACGTCAACTTTGTTATTCTTGAAAATACAAGTTAGTACAGTTGAATTTAAATTTGATTAATGAGATTCAGAAATGTTTTATAAAACACTAAAATTTAAAAGTTAGATTAATTGAATTGAAGTTCAATTAATGAGATTCCGATATGATTTTGTAATTTTTAATGAATTTTAATCAATGGTAAAAATTTATTATCAGTGTTATTGTTTCTTTCTTTTTTTCATTTATTATTTTCACACACACATAAATTAGAAGAAAATTATTTTGGTTGCAATCTCCATCAATACCAACAATGAGAAAGGAGAAAAAAAAAACAATTGTAATATAACCCTCGACAAATCCACTTACCTTCATATGAATTTTATTTTAGAATGAATTAACTTCTAAGCGTTCATTGTAGATTGTCACAATTATATAGTATTCTTTTATTAACCATTAACTATCTGGAAAAAAAAAACATAATAAGAGAAACTTGGATTAATTGAACTCCAACAGACAATCTTAATGTTTTTTTGAAAAATGAATTGTGTGAAACGTCTCACCATAAATGTGTATTTGAATTAAACTTTGGTGATTATTGGATGATTTAGTCTTTTAAATGGATTAATATCCAATATCTGTTTACTTCTATAATTTTTTTTGTAAAGTTCGAAATATCATAAAAACGAATACGTAATGTAATTAAAGACAAAACAATTTAGCACACAAGTTAGTAGAAATAATATCACCTGACGATATATAATAAATACTTAAAAATTATAGTGACGATATACATACAATAAATGCTCATAAATTATAGTGCGTTAATTATATTATAAAAAAATTTATAATGGGAAAAAGTTGGATTTTTGGCACCGGGCATAGGACCTTCAAGGCTAAATATTACCATTTTTTAGCAATGTAATTTTGCTCCTATCTATTACACGTTATTCACTACTCTTATATGTATTTTAATAATTTAGTTATTCTCTAATTCTCATTCTTATTCAAACACAACACATTCATTAGAAAGCGAGATTATTTCAGAAATTTTGTTTTCAAAAAAACAACATATTTATCATTTTTCTTAATTTACATTAAAAACCTTAAACTACCTTGGAGCAGATGAATTATAATGTTAAGTGGAAATCACCATATGGATTGAGTCTTAATCTTAGTTGATAACAATAATCAATTTTCTTTTGAAAAATATAAGTAGATGTTTAATTGATGAAAGAGAAAAACAACTTTCACAAAGGAAAGGAGTCATTGATGGTTGTTTAATAAAAAGGAGAAGAAAATGAAGATAGGAATAACAATAATTTGTGAAATCTAAGAGAAAGATATCCATATAAATAACATAATTATTCTAAAAATTAAGTAAAATTCGATCATTAATGAACTAAATAATGAATGAGAATATCCATGAAGGGAAAAGCAAATAAATGAAGAAGTTGCGAGCTCCACGTAGACTATTCACGAGACACGTAGGTTCCCATGTCAACATCGAATCGACGCGTTCATTTAGCGCGGTGATCGTAGCGTATCCAAGTGTGCATGTCAGTTTCGTAATTTAGCGAAACTCTGAGGGTATTTCATTACCGGCCATTCCAACGCTTGTTCTACTCGCCTAAGTTTTTCCCTCCTGAATCACATTTTCCCCTTGAGTCCCTTGACCCTCGAAGCCACCCCAGACAGAAAAAACGAAGAAAAGGAGGAGAAAGTTGAAGAGAAAAGAAACCCACTAGTGAACTCAAAATCAGGGGAAGAGATTCCGATTGCAATTCACAATTCGAAAGTGACTTCAATTTCGTTCTGAGCTGCTTTGATGAGTGAGAGAGTGAAGAAGGAAAAGCCAACGGAGAAAAGGGAGAGGATGAAGAACATCTTCAAGAAGCTTCACATAGGTGGCAACCACGATCCTCAGCGATCCAATGAGAATTCGCCACCTACGCCGTCGCCGTCTTGCGCCGCCGATCAGTCTCAAAGCTCCGCCGCCAATCCGGCGAGCCCCTCGTCGGCCTCCGCGTCCACGGCGGTGGTGACACCTGGCGGCGGCGGCGCGAGTCCGGGGGTGAATCGGCAGGACTTTTTCTCGTCGGAGGAGGAGTTTCAGATGCAGCTAGCCCTAGCTATCAGCGCTTCCAATTCGGACTTCCGTGATGATCCTGAGAAGGATCAGATCCACGCGGCGACGCTATTGAGTTTGGGAGGCCTTCGAATCGATTCGACGGGGAACAAGGACGACGCGGCGGAGGCACTGTCGAGGCAGTACTGGGTAAGGTCTTACTCAATTGTTGAAATCCACTTCTTGCAATGTTGCTCTTTGGTCGTGGTTAATTGAGGTGAAGCTGTGAATTGTAGAGGTTTATGCAGAGTGCGTTTCACTTCAGATTTTATTTATTTCCTCTTGCAGTGAATTCGGTTGTGTGTTGGAACTTAGAGTCGGGGCCTTTTATATGTGTCTTGGGATAGCTACACCGCTGAAGTTCGAAATGTGTTTTTGATCAGCGAGTTTAAATTTGGTGTCTGCAGAAAGTAGACGGAATTTCAGTAGAAACTGAGTTCTGATTAATTGCCCTTTAGCAGAAGGTGTTATGCGCAGTTTGATATTAAAACTTATGTGAATATCTCTACCATCTGTTTTTGGTCTGGAGTGATTGATTGGGCAAACTGTGGTCAAACGATCTTGAAGATTTTGGTGGTTTTTTTTTGGAAGTGCAATAAAGCCCTATAAATTACAGATGTGGATTGCTGTTTTTAGAGTAGGTGCTTATTTGTGTGCTTGATGTTGAAAAAACAAGAAGGAATGCTTTTGACTTTCTGTGGTTATCATTATAAATTTCATTAGTTTTCTACGGCATATCATTTTAAAGAAAATTGTACAAGTATATGTTTTATTGTTTCTTCATGTGCACTCATTACTCCACACTCACCCACTTCATCACATGGTATTGGTTAACTCTGCCATTGTCTTCATGTGCACTCATTACTCCACACTCACCCATTGCATCACATGGTATTGGTTAACTCTGCCATTGTCTTGCACATTTTCATTTGTATTAAGCGAACATGAACACTTTAATTTATTTTAATCAGTTGAGCACCAAGATAGAAATAACCCAATTATAAAATGTAATTAAGTTGGGATGCTCACCACTTGTTTCAACTACATTGATACTTTTCACCTGTCTATCTAACGACCTTTCCTAACCTGGATCTGTTTTAATTATCTTTCATTTCTATTTTTGTTGATCAGGAATATAATGTGCTTGACTATGAGGAGAAAGTAGTAGATGGTTTTTATGATGTATATGGCCCCTATAACGATTCGGTAATGCAAGGAAAGATGCCGTCTCGAACAGATCTTGAAGCAAATCCGGGAGGTTCTGAGGTGGTCATTGTTAATAGAACAATTGATCCTGCTTTGGAGGAACTGATACAAATCGCCCAATGTATTGTGTTAGACTGCCCAGCCACTAGTTTGGCACAAAGGCTTGCTGAACTTGTTACAAGTCATATGGGTGGTCCTGTAAAGGATGCTAGTATTATGTTAGCAAGATGGACAGAAACAAGAGCAGAGTTAAGGACATCGCTTCACACAATTGTATTGCCTCTAGGGTCCTTAAATATTGGGCTCTCTAGGCATCGTGCTTTGCTTTTCAAGGTTAGTGTTGTGGTTTTTGTGATTAAATTCTTGTTAGCTGTAATGTAATTTGTTGTTAGGTTACTGCAGTCATAAGCTCAAGAAAATCAGAATAAACTATAACCATTAAATAATTATATCACCTTAAAACATTTTTGAAATGAAAATATTAATAAATTGATAAAAGTAATTCTGATAGTTTTCTTTAGAGTTACTCATGCTGATAAAATATTCCCTACTAATCTAGCTTGGGCTTGCATTCAGAAGTATATTTGCTGTAAGTATGCTTCACTGAAAAAAATGAGAAAGTCGTGCTCAATTATCAAGATTGAGTCATTAAACTTATGGCTGACTGTGCTCATCAATACTTCTACAACTTCTGCAGGTTTTTAACCTTTCATACATAGTTGTGATGTCGTTGTAAAGTTAGTTTTCAATGAGATTTGAGAATAGATCTCCAGTTAATTTTAATATTTTTAATGTGCATTTTAGAGGATCATTTTATAGTTCATTATGAATTTTATCAAGATTTGCAAAAGTTTTCGTATGATCTATTGCTTGTGTAATATACTTGTTTTTTCTGCATTCAGGTATTAGCTGACAACATTAATATGCCTTGTAGACTGGTAAAAGGTAGTCATTACACTGGTGTGGAGGATGATGCTGTCAACATTATAAAGTTGGAGGGTGAAAGGTTAAGGATCTTTGTATTCTCATGTATTTGTT